TGGCTGTTTGGGAAGCATGGGAATTTGCAGAGTTCTCTAGGGACACGCTGATCTCTCTTTAAAAGAAAAGCAAGCCAAGTTTGGGGGGGGTTGTATTTATTTATTTAAATACACTTGCAGAAAGTTAGGCTCCTAGATCTATATTTAAACTTCTTAATACATGGCCTGATTTTCAAAGGTGCTCAGCATGTTGCAACCCTCCTACTAACTGGCTTCTTTCTTGCTATGAACTATCCTCAGAGGGGTTTTCTAGTGTTCTCTTTGCTTTTAACAAGAAACACTTATTCATCTAATAAAAAGGAATATAACACCTGCCTTCTCCCATGTCAGCCCTCCCATGGCGTTACCCCTGCAGCCCCAACCACAGTTAAGCATGGTGTGCAAATTGCACTGATAACATGGCCTCACCTCCTCCCATCCATTTTAAACTTTAGCGAGATATCAACAGCAGTCAAAACTCAACAGCAATTGCTACTTTGGTGCTTTCCGTGGTACTTGGTGGGGGTTGAGTGCAGAGGAAAAGGAGCCTAGCTGCAGTTATAATCAGTTGCTCCTTCCTCCATCAGCATCCCAGATCAGACATGGTAGAAAGGTTTGGAGCTCCTGACCATGGCACTGCCCTGGGTAGCATGCATATGTTTGAGGAACAGGAAATAGGTCTTCTAAAGAAAGGACTCTTCCCTTAGAAAGAAATAAATGCTGTGTGTTCATTGCCAGGGAGAGCTTTTAGTAAGTGCTTAGCAGCTCACGAACCAAAACTGATGATGCTGGCTCCTTAGTGAGCCTGCCCTTTTAGCTTGACTGCTCGCATACTGACTTCTATTGACTTCTTGCGCCCTTTCCAAAGCTAGGTCTATGTAAGATTAAGAAAAGCATGGTCATTTTTTCCCACTCACCAGCTCCTTCACACACATTATGCAGTATTTTCCACCACAGCGAGACTGGTAGGAAGAAAACTTGCAATCAAGTTGCAAGCTGCCCTAGCTCTGTGTGGCTGTCATGAACTCCTTTTTGTACCTCATAGAAATATTCCTCCAAAGGGAAAGCTTAGTTTGATTAGCATGCTGCAACAATTTTATCATTAAATATTGGCAGAGATTATTCACTCCCTTATATTGTCACTAAACAGCTTACGTCTAAATGCAGAGGACCATCTAAATGAGTACAGTCATACCTTTTTTGGGTTGACAGGTCTATTCAAAAGAAAAAGCTCTGGAATGCATTCCTGCTTTCTGTAAGAACTACCTGTGGAGTTGCACCCTCTGCAGGTTAACAGAGACCACTTGACGGAGGACATGCAGATCAGAGCAGAGGGGTTGCCTTTCTTGGCTCTGCTGGGGCTGCAACACACCGGTTGGAAACACTAATCCCTGTTACATTAGCACTTCAGAACCACATACAAACCCTCCACAGTTACACCTGACCAGTCACTGCTCCACATAAATACTTGCTTTTCTCTTCACATGGAGCTTGTACAGAGCTTGGCTTGGGGGTTGGAAACAGTGCTCAACTCACCTAGAAATTGGCAGGTGAGAGTCAGTCATGCGGACAAACTAAGGGCAGCTAAAAACAAGCAAGGGCTGTGCTTGATCACTGATGCCTGCTTTACTCAGAAACATGGTCTAGGATTTCTGCAGTTTGTCCTGGGCAACATCTTTTACGAAATGTCTTGTGTGCTGGCAATTATGTGTGATAGTTTAGGAAGGGATTCTTTCAAAGGTAAGCTAGACATTTTGAGTTGGGCTCACATTCTAAATTTGCAGCGAGGCTCTGGGAAAATCTGCTTTTGATGCATTGCTTTTGGGTGCACTTATGAGCACATGCACTAGTTTTTCTTCTTTTTATAGGAACAAATGTTGTGCATCCTGTGAGAAGTCTGGTCCCCTGAACTGGTGCAAAATGATTGCTTTCTCCTCTCATACCAAATTCCCACTGGATGGGATTCATCTCACCAGCTCTGCTTGTCCAGAAGGAGGTTAAAATTAGAAGTGCCTCCCCTAAGGCAGCTGTCCAGGCTCCCTCCTTATCAGTCGAGATGGAGGCACTGCTGAAAGGTGTCTCATTTCACCTTTCCTTCCCACCTACATTATAATGTGAGCCTTCTGGAAGCATCTGTTTCTCTGCACTGACTGGACAGGGAGCCTGGACAACTCCTTTGGACTGGACACCTAAGTTTTAGACCATTGGAAGTTAGATGTGATGAGCCTCAGGAGATTGCTTGCTGCCCAGAGGTATGCAGGCAGTATGAAGTCTGTATCAGGAAAAACTTCTGTAAATGAAATTTACATTTCAGTGAAATATTTTGCCCATAAAAGACAAAAATGCTTGTCAAAGACAAAATGGATATGATTAATTCTAGGGAGAGCCATGTAGATGTGGGTCCAGAAGAAACTAATGACATGAAACCATAAAGTTGGCTGCCACTTTTCAAGTATTTGAATGTGTGGTAAAATACATAATTTTAGATGAAATTTAGGTGAAGACATATTTGTCATTTTTCTCTCAACAGCTATTCCCATCATCCCGCTGAACATATGGGGTGCTCCGATCACATGTTGAACACACACATGCTCCAGTCCTGGAGCAAGCTTCAAGCTGTGGGTAGATGATAGATTTTGTTGGGCTTCCCTGTGAGATAAGGGGTGGTGTGTAGGCAAGCGGCTGCTTTCCTGGTGCTTAACTAAGAGCACCGATGTGCTGCTGGTCGGTGTTGCTGAGAGAAGTACAGCCCACCTGGGCTGCCTTCTTCCTCCCTGCCCCAATAATCCGCCCCCATTCCTGCATGGGGAACATGCTGGAGGTCAGAGCTCAAGGGTTTGGCAGTTTCTTAAGGACTGAAAGATGCCCAGAGAGGAGCCTGCCATTGTGTGCGTTGCTCCCTGTGCTCCTGATATAATCCCTGGTTTGGGAAACACAAAGGGGATGTTCCCAACACGCTGCAGGGATTGCATCCACCCCTCATGCATGGCTGGGACCCAAACAGTATGTCAGACTCGAAAATCTGTCTCATTTTCTGTGTCAGGGCACAGTTCCCACCTGCTCCTCTACCAGCCAAATAAATCATTTGCTTTGTGCGCTCCAGTGAGTGGCTTGGGGTTTGAACCTGTTCCTTTATCTCTCCTTTCATTCTGCATATATCAGGTCACTGCTGCCATTTGGTTAAATACAGGTTAGCAGCTCTCTGGTACTGAGTGGCTGAGGAGAGATTTTCTTTTCTCCTGGGACAAAGACCTAAATCTCACAGAGCTCTTGAGGAAAAATCTTGGTAGCGCTTTGTGACTCGTTTGCTTTCCCTTCATTTTCTCAAGCAAAATGACAGATTTGGGACAATGGAACTGAATGGGGGATTAGGTCTGTGTATTGTGGTTTTTTTCCCTCCATGTCTTGAGGAGGGTTTGAGCTCATTTTGGCACCTGATTTAAGAAAAGCCTTCATACCCAAGAGCCATGGCCAGACCACAGGGCCTTTTCTTGCTGGAGCTAGGTGAGGTTGAACTTAAAGTCTTGTCTGTCTTCTTAGCAGTCTGTACTGCCTTTTAGGGTGTTTTTCTGCTCCACTTTCTGCTTTCCATGAAGGAAAGCCTCTGTAACGGGATATTCTGGTTCCCACTTCTCCTCAACCTGCCTCCATGTGGGAGGGAGTCACGTGTGGGACTCAAGGCCAAGGACTTTCCAAGGCCACGTGGCACCTAGATGGCAGGCGATGCACAGCTGAATGTCACTTTGCCTCCATGGTTTTCTGAATTTAACTCCTCTGGCCTGGAATGATCCCATTTCTCCCAAAGCACTGATGCCAGGATCTCAGCCACCCTCAGTTTCTTTAGCCCCTGGCACCATGAGAGGATGATTCAACCCCTCAGCTCTGAAGTGCCCTCTCCTCTCTCCCTCACTCTCCGCTCACTGCAAAACATGCTGAGATGCACAAGACTCCTGACGTAGGTGCTTCTGCTGTCCAGAAGGCTTCTAGGATGCAATCACTACACCACTGGCTCCAGTGGAAATGGGGTTTCGGCTGTCGCCGCAGCCTCGTGTCGAGCCTTGCTGTGGAGCTGGGCAGACTGGCCACCATTTCACTGGCCAGCCACCTCAGCTCTCTGGCAGAGCTTGCTGCTCCCACGGTGGGCTGTCCATGTGCCCCTTCCCCAATCTGTCCAGGATGGTGGATGACCCCTTAAAGGTGGCTTTAAGTGAAACAGAAATGCAAAACTGCCATAACCAGACACACATGTTAAGCAAGATCTGTGTCGTGACACTGGGAGATGAATCTCCCACAACACTCCTAAATCAAAACAAGGACACTTTCAAGAGTGGCTTTGGGACTGCTGTTATGGTTGGTGACCAAATGTATTTTTCCTTCTTTCTTTTGGCAAAGTATTTGTTTGTTAAAAGTTTCTGTTATGTCAAACCCATGTTCATGCTCTGCATCATGCATTAGTCCTGCTTCCCTGCCAGCCCTGCCAGGATCCCCATGCCAGGGGTGTCAGGCCCCTCTCAAGTGGTGGAGACACTTTATAGCGTGTCACAAAAAAAGTTTCCTTTTCTTCAACCCGAATCAAACCCTTTTTCCTCGCTTGGAAGAAAGTTGTCTCATTTATTTGGAAGAGACTTTGTGTCTCTGTTTCAAGGAGGGGCAAAACCGGAAGCAAATTAACGAAAAGCCAAGGGCGGGTTACAAAGACCTACAGAGCAGACCACCTTCACAAGCGTCCTTGAGACACCCACCAGGGTGTCCTGTTTAGCCTGCTTGATCCCATAGAAGACCTGCCAGTACCCTTGGGCACCCCGTGTCTCACAGCCTGCTGCCTGGCATCATCCCTCCGGGAGATCTGGCACCGATTCCAACCAGACTGTCATTTCCAGGTCAGTCTCCACATTTCTGCTGACCATGTTGACTCCATCATGAGATCATGTCTTTCCAGAGAAATCCCGCTAATGCCTTCATTCTGCGAGACCGGTATATATAGGGGGAGCTTCCCTGGGGCTGCAGCGCGCAGTCCAGCCAAGGCATCGCTGTCTTCCCAGCAGCTGCACTGCCCCCTCCGCTCTCCCCTTGCAGCCACAGGTCGCAGCAGCAGCAAGCATGGACATTACCATCCAGCACCCCTGGTTCAAGCGTGCTCTGGGACCCCTCATTCCAAGCCGTTTGTTCGACCAGTTTTTCGGAGAGGGTCTCCTCGAGTATGACCTCCTGCCTTTGTTCTCTTCCACTATCAGCCCCTACTACAGGCAGTCCCTCTTCCGCAGCGTGCTGGAGTCGGGCATTTCAGAGGTAAGGGCCCTTCGGCTTCCTCTCCTTTTCCTTCCTCTCCCTCCTTACGCCTCTGCCTGCTCCACCCCACCCGCGGCTCACCGGCGGGGGCCGGTGGCTGTAGCCCCCATGCTGGGGTGCGAAGGGGGCGAGGAGGACCTCCAGCCCACCGGCAAGCACAGCCCGCTCGCCCCTTCTTGGGCACGGAGGGAAACCCTCGCTGGGGAGAAGGCTTCCCTTTGAGAAACGGAAACTATTCTGGCTCCTGACGGTTGTTTCCGACACGTAAAAGGCTGCCTTTGCTGCCCTCACGCCCGCCAGCCATATGGTGAGGGAAGAGCTAGGCTGCTCCCGGAGTAAGCGCCCACGAGGGCAGCTCGGCATGGGAGAGGACGCCGGCGAGTGGGAGCTTCCTCCGGCCCCTTCCTCCACCTCAGGAGCTCAGTGGTTGTTGCAAGCCCACGCTGGAAGACCCAGGAGCAATTCCGTGTAGGAGGAGTGCGTAGCCATGGGGGCTGTGCTCCGAAGCTCAGGGACTGGCGCTTTCTCTAGCCCTCTCATGCTGGTTTCCTCCCAGAGCTAAGACCACAAAGAAACCATAAATCTCTGAAAGGACGAAACGTGTGCTATCAGAGAATATTACACTGGTTTTCGTCCTCTCTCGCTGCTGAGTACAAATGCCTGGTGCATCTGGCAGATCGCTGAGTGCAAAGGGGTCCCCCGGCAGAAGAACAGCGGTGAGAAGTGACGCCTCTGCCCCAGAGCAGTAGCAATGGCGCAGATGCCCACCGTGGCCTCCCAGTGTCACTGGGTCCCCGTGATGGGAAGAAGACCCCCACTGAGGTCCATAGTCACAGAAAGAGAAACCGTGCCGCCGCCAGACCACCCCTTCTCTGCCTTTTAATCTGCCACGATGCTGGTGCTATCTCCGTGCTTAGAGCTAGGGTCTTACTGTCTAACAATGTTCGTTTCAGGTGAGGTCTGACCGGGACAAGTTTACAATCATGCTGGATGTAAAACACTTCTCTCCTGAAGACCTGAGTGTGAAGATTATCGATGACTTTGTGGAAATCCATGGCAAGCACAGTGAAAGACAGGTAAGTGGAAGTGATGGTGATGACGGAGAAACTGGGGAGTAAAGGTCCGTTTTCTTTCTTTCCAATGGTCCTCAGCTGAAGGAAAAAAAAAAGAATATATCAGAAGAAAGAGTTATTTATTGATTGTCATTATTGGCATGGCCTGTTCCCATAGAGCCCCAACCAGATATCTGACAATAATGAGCTGATCCACTCCTCTTTTGTTTATTTTCAATCATCACCTTCCATAACCGTCAGATGACGATGTCCATTGTTCACTAATAACATTGGACCAGACAAAGAACATCATCTGGTGCTGCCAAAGCATGGCTGAGTTTTCATAAGCCAGAATCATTAGTGAAAACAGAGTTTTCATATGCTGATCTAGGAGAGAAAAGCAAGAGCAAACAAAACAAAAGAAAAACAACCAAATGCCTGAGGCTTGGAAACTTTTAACACGTATGTCATGGAAATATCCGTGGGGGTCTAAAAGTGAATTATACCAGCAGGGGTTTAATTCTTCTCATACATTTTTTTGGCCAGACAAAGCTCTAGCCTGGAAACAGTATGTATTTTTTAATATAGTTATTTTTTCCAGAGGAAGAGAGCAGCCATTTTCACGGCTGACTTAAAAAAAATAATTTGCATTTCTCATTCTTTTGGCCAAAAAAAAGGGGGCCAGGGTTGTGTACTTTGGCTGACACAGCGTTGCTGCCTAGTAAGGAAATACATGGCCGTACACGTGTGCCTTGTTTTTACCTTCACAGAACCCCAGACTTTCTCTCCAAGCATCCTTTGAAATTGGAGACTATGGCAGGGCCCCTGTCCAGATCAGAACCCAACCTACAATATGGCCAAAATCACACCCTGCTGCTCTGCTCAGCTCTTGCAGCTTCAGGGACATCATGGGGGGACACCTGCCCCTACAAACCTGTGAAATAGAGTAAAAAGCGGAGATCGCCTGGCGATACCAGCAGTACAGTGTCACGATAAGCCAGGCCAAATGTGGCCCCCCCTCCTATGGAGCCACGGGGTCGGGCGGAGGGAGGCACGGCGTGGTGCTGGGGGGTTTCTGATGGGTCTCCCCCTTTCCCCACTGCCTCTCAGGACGACCACGGCTATATCTCCCGCGAATTTCACCGCCGGTACCGCCTGCCCGCCAACGTGGACCAGGCTGCCATCACCTGCTCCCTGTCCAACGACGGCATGCTGACCTTCTCGGGCCCCAAGGTCCCCTCCAACATGGACGCCAGCCACAGCGAGAGGCCCATCCCCGTGTCGCGGGAGGAGAAGCCCACCTCCGCGCCTTCCTCCTAAACCCGCCTGCCGCTGCGGCATGCAGGCTGCCACCGTCTGCAGGTCTCATTCCCAGAGCCATTGCATAGATATCAGTGAATATCTAGAGGGGTTTCTTTCGTTGGTCCCCCCGCCCCCCCCCCCCCTGTTGCACCCTCCCCCTTTCTCTTGGATGGGACGAGGGGCTGGGTGAGCGGCTGGTGGACTTTGAAGCTTAAACCCGCGAGCTGTGCTGTGGGGATGGCATGGATGGCGTGTGCTGCCACGTTGTTGTACTTGCTGAAAGGGTCTTCGTCCAGTGCTGTAGTCCATAACCACCATCAGGTAGGAGGGAGTGCAGAAGTAACACTGGCTCCTGGTGCACCAAGTCTTGAGGTGAGGCTTGGAGCAGGTGAAAAGCCCTGCAGACTTGCTCTACCCCACGCAGAGTTAAACTGGTTACTCTTAAAAAAAGCAACAGAGCCAAGCCCCACACCTGAGATCCTGCGTACATGTGATGAATGTGCCAGGAGTTCCTTGCAACCACAGGAGAAATCATAACATCCTACCTTCGGGGGTTGCAACGTGTATTTTTATTCAGCAAAGTGTTTAAGTGTATCTGTTCATACCACTACCCTGTCGTTTCCCTTAGGGACAACTGACACGAGGACAAGCACGTCTTTCCACTGTCTTAGTAGGCCCTCGGGGGAGAGAGGGGGGCTCACCGCTGTGCAGAGGCTTCACATCCCCAGCCAGCTCTCCCCAGCCTGCGCGTAACACACCGTCTCCCTTGCTCTCGCTGTTAATTCTAGGGTAGCTCCACCTCTTCCACTGGTATCTGGCACTCAACCTGAGAACGCGGTCAGTGGCGGTCAATAAAGAGATATAGGAAACACGCAATTGGCTTTGGGGTTTCGTTTGTTCCTTTCTAAGGCTTTTGAAATTGAAAGGTTAGCGCGGTGCCTAACACTGCTTTGAGGACGCGCTTTCCACCGCTGGAAGTACATTTTGTGATGATGACTTGCCCTTTCTTTCGTGCTCCTGTTATCCTTCATGCAAGCAAAACAAAAGGATCAAGAAAAGAACAAAATTCAACAGCCCAACAGCCATGCCATTTCTTAAGTTCATTGCGTCAGTAAAGACGGCAATGCAGACCTCGTTTCCGTGATACGATGTGAAGGATTTCATCTGAAATGAATGATTAAAGCTGTTTGATGGCAGGGTGGGTAGGGCGTAGGTGCTGTCTCTCCCTGCAATTGCCACGCATGAAATCCATAGCTCCCAAGCCTGCGTAGATGAGAGTGCTCAAGCCTGAAGGTTTCAGCACTCATGCTTGACTCAAATAGCTTTCCAAGCAGACAGAGATCTGGGCTGTTTAGCAAAAGCATAGCATCGCTGATAACCCCGCAACCCCCACAATTAACCCCGTAGGTAAGATCAGCTTGGACAGTGAGTGCTTTTTCTCCTAGTAGAGGTCTTCACATCCAAGACCTCCAATGTGAGGTGGAGTTTCTGAGGTCCACCTTGGCTCCTAAGTAGAGAAGGTCACTGCTTCCCCGGGAGCAGACACAAGTTTGTCTCAATCAACATGTCTCTGGGTGCTCCCGGATCATTCCTACAAAACAAGGCAGGGTGACAGAATCCTTCCCAGGAAAGAGCACAGGTCCATACCCTCACTGGGAGGTGAGGACAGCTGGACAAAGTGTTGCTCTGCCAAAAAGACGAGCCCGCCAACCTCCTCCCCTTTGCTGCTGATTAACTGTGAAAAAGAGAGAAAATATAAGCTGGGTTTTTTTTCATGGCATGAGTTTAAATATTAATATGAGCCATAAATACAGAAGCTCTGGGCCTATTTAAAATTAAAAAGCACGTTCTTCTGCCACATCTAGGCCAAAACCCAGGGACGGCTGGGAGTCAGGAGCAAGGACATTGCCCCTTATCAGGAGAAAGTGAGTGTGCCCTGCATGGGGCGGCTGGGGGAGAGCCAGGGAGAGGGGCAAGGCTGCAGGAGGAGGGAAGTGCCGCAGAAGCAGGGGCAAGAGGGAAAGGAGGGAGATTACCGTCTGGTAATTAGAAAGCAAGGAATCCCCTCGGAATCTGACACTATTTTAAACCTATTTTTTACTGAGATTAATTATTGGGCAATCCCAAAGCTTTCTACCAAAAAAATGTGCAGCCTGTTGCATTTTCATCTCCAGGGGCAAGGCGTGAATGGATGCATTTGGGGAAAGGGCAATTTCATACCAGGAGGGAGCTGTTACTACCGGCAGAGAAAGGGCATTTTGGCAGAAACTGCCTCTCATTGCTTTGCCTGGTGCTAACAGGGCCCTGGCCTCTGCTCCTTTCCCCTCGGAGGCATCTCCCCGCCAGAGCTTCCGCACCTTCCCGCTGTGTGCTGACATCTCTCTCCTTCCTGACACAAACTCAGCAAAGCCAGGAGGAAAAAAACCCCAAAACCCAGCCCCAAACATTTAGCTCCCATTCAAAACTCTCAGAGATGTAAAAACAGGGAAACATTTTGAGCGTGATCTGCGTGCAGACGTTACCTGCAGCAGTTTGAGCAGCATGTGTGTCTGCCTGTCCCATGAAATGACATTTGAACCATTTTGGGGCCCCTTTTTCTGTCTGGATGGCAGAAGGTGAAAGTTTTGACGATAGGAAATCAGGGCAGGTTTGGGGCAAGCCGGGAGCCGTGCAGAGCGGGCAGCGGCTCTTGCAGCTGCTCTGGTGCTGCAATGCAGCGGGTCCCGAGGGACCCGTGCAGCCCCTTGCTTTTGCGGCAGATCCTGGGGACACCAGACCGTGACTGTCTCACTGCTCTGAGAAGAGCTGGTTTTAAAGCCCTTCGCAATCCATCAGCTAATTAAAAACACGAGCGGCTGCTAAAAGCCTCTGTGCGAGGACACGCCGCGCGGCTGGTGGTGTTTAGTGTAGGGGGGGGGAACGTGTCACCGAAGGCTGCCCTGCCTGACCCCAGGGCCAGAGCCCCCCATGCCCCAAGGGGTTCATTCGCCCACAGAAGAGCTTGAGAATGGGCAATAATTCCTCCCTGCTTACTAGTGCCCATGTGTCACTCAAAATATTTCACATTTTTCACCCCAAAGTCTTCCTAGTCACATTGCCCCGGGATACTCCACCTCCTCCTCTTCTGTGCACTTGGCTCTGTAAAAATTATTGTTTTCCCTTTGCTGAAATTAATTTTCATTTAAAGAAAGTCTTGTCATTCATAGCCTATGATCATGGTTTCAAGAAGGAGATCTTCACCACAGCTTTTTACACAAATTTACCTGTTAATAAGGTGTTGCTGAGTCTCTTCCAGGCTTAACAAAATTTCTTGGAAGTTTTTTGGTTAGAAACTCAGTTGATGATTTTATCACAGAGAGAAAGGCAGCGGAGGTCCCTGCCCACAGGGCACTGATGGCACCTTCCAGCGGCCCGGCAGTTTGGTGTAGGGTGGCCTGTAACCAGGGGTTTCTGCTCAGGCTGATTATTCATCCTTATTGCACCGCGCTTTTATTACCCGCTGTCCGTTTCCGCTCAGAGTGCTAACCTTGCTTGCCTAAAGCAGAAACGACTTTAGCTTCCCCTCCAGAGAAATCATTAAAGCATTAGCCCAAGGGTCCTGAGGGGGATGCAGCAGAGGGTGGTCCAGGGGCATGATTCCTCCTCCAGGTGACTCTCCCTCCTCCCACAGCCCCCAATGACCCGGCGGTGGTGGCAGTGACCTGGGGGACGGCAGCAGCTCCTGCTGCTGTACCTGCCCCCTCCCCTCCTCAGCGCTGCAGTGCTCAGGCGGGGGACGTCACCTCTGCCAGCATCCCGTTTCCTCTAAGAAAAAGCTGGGAGCAAGGGCTGGCAGGATCCCACCTGGAGGCCACCCACCGGGAAGCTGTCCCTGGGTATCCTGGGCCAGGGCTCTCCCCTTATCGCCTCTCTTGACAGGGGGATAAGGAGGACCCTCCTCACCCTTTTCAGAAGAAGGCGCACAGAGTTCACACAGCCCTCTCTGCATGGGCTTGGGCAATCAGCAGATGCCGCATTCCCCCCCCATCTCGCCCCCGGTTTATCCGTTAGTTTTGGACTTTTGTCTCCTGGCAGAAGGACAGCTGGGGAGAGAGAGGCATTTCCCGGCAAAGCCGTGTCCCCACAGGGCGGCAACCTTTCCTGCGCTCTGGCACACCAAAGGGCTCCCTTTGGCCCCCCGCCCCCCCGCCCCGGGTTTCAGCATCTCCCCAGGGAGACAGAAGTCCAGGGCACAAGGCTAGCAGGCACATGGACCCAACGACGGTTGCACAACTCTGGCATTTCTTGGTTTCTGATTGATTTGCAAGTTAGCCAGTGTTACATAAAGATCTGGAATAGTCTGAAAGTTTTCCAGCATTTCCCCCCTTTTTTTTTCTTTAAAGCAAATTCTGTTGCATGCAACCACTGTAACCTCTCATCTCCTTGGCACTGTCATCAAGATTGGGGCTCTGCCACACAGGTCTCTACAATCTGAGGTTAAAAAAGCAGTAACTGCCTGTGTTGGCAACAAAAAGGGCTACAAACTCATCTGAAAAATCCCAGTATTCTCTCAAAAGCGCACAACATGGACACACTGGGCACACCTCTGCAGTTTATCGCTGCTGTGTCAGGCACGTAGATTTGGGAGACACAGGCAGACGTGCGATGACGTGGGCTCTGCCCCCCCAACCCAGACTTTGTCCCTCCGGTGTGACCTCTTGTCAGGACTGGCATGTGACTGGAAAAACACCAGCTCACATGAGAAGAGCAGGTAAGTGCCGAGTCCCTCATTTCCCAGCTCCTGATCCAGCCGCGGGGCTTTCCCAGGGGAAGTGCAGTCGGGTCCGTACACTGCCCACGCAGCAGAGCTGGAGCCGCGTTACGTGGCTGGAGCTCAGCTTGCAATTAACTGGCACTTTTAAGGAAAAATGTGAGGTTAGGACGTGGCGCAGATGTTTGTGGCATATCTTAGAGTGTAGCACAAGCAGAGTAAAAATGAAATCTTGGTCAGAGAGGCTGAGGCAAGATGGAGTGATGTAAGTCGACCAAAACTCAGGAGACCTTTCCATGCCTCGAAGACCATCCTCCAGCTGTCTTGCAGAGACCTACCACCCCCCATGAGGGCCCTGAACTCTTCAGAAAATCATCTTTCTGCTCAGGAAGGGTGGGCTCAGCCCAGCCTGGAGAAGCTGCCCTGCCTCAGCAGAGGTGCTGGCAACTGGG